CATCTTTAGACAAATTTACAGAACAATAATAATAAATACTACATGGGTCAAGTTCTGGAGGATGACACTGGTGGAAATTACTCTGTTTGGTTTCGTTGGGGTCGAGTTGGAAAAACAGCTCAAACTTCTCTCCAAAGCTTTGGCTCTAAAGACCAAGCTATTTGGGAATTTCAAAAGAAGTTCCGCGAAAAGACTGGTAATGCTTGGCACTGTCGAGCTAACTTCATAAAATATCCTGGTCGCTATGATCTCATTGAGCAAGATTTTGGTGCAAGTGCTTACTTTATTGAGCTCCTTTTGCATAGTTTTATGGAAAAATGACAATTTTTTCTCTTACTTTAGGAGCCTGTTGAAGAGGAAGAAGTCGATACTGGTTCAAAGATTGCGAAGAAAAAAACCCCGAAATCACTTTTGCCCCCTGAAGTTTTGGTAAACCAGTTTGCTCGTAAATTAGAAAGTAAAGTTAATCTCTAATCTTTTTTTAAAGGTAGGTAGGAATCTTAGTCTGTGTAAATTATTGGTTTAGTTTTAAAGAAAAGACTGTTCATTATGGCAGGTTTTTGGAATGAAACTGTAGTCTGTTAAAACGTCAACGGAAATAGCGCTTGTGTCATGTATGATTGTTTCCTATATCGCTCCTGCTTTCTCTGTTGACTTGAGAATACACTATTAGCGGCATAACTTGATCTCCTAGTGGTTCCTCATTATAGAGCCCTCAAGCTTACAAAAGTGAACAAGTGAGTAGTTAAAAGGTAGAATTTCCTATCTGCTCTTGTTTTCTACCGGCCACGCAGTAGGCTTTCCTCCGTATGACTGCCCTATCTTCATTTATGACTATCCGACGACCCAGTCTCTAGACGTGTTCAGCCCCACCCCCGTCTCCGCACTTCGACTACTCTCACTCTCTTTACCACTTTCCATCAAAGTAGACATAGGCCTTTAGTCGAGCAGTCTTCGAAGAAAAGTCTAAAATTGTCAAAAAAAAAACAAATTAAATTTTCCTTTAAAATGAAATTTAGACATTAGTAATCTGGACTTACCGCTCCTATGGTTAAAAAATGTCATGTGGTAATAGTAATTCATGCACATTTGATATTGGTTCCAAGTAAATCTCCTTTACCATTTATTAATTTTGGGAAATAGGGGTGTACGATAGACTTACCTCCACGTGGTGCACCCTGGGCAACGTATACTCATACGGCAAAAAGGTCTATTAACCGGCAGTTGACTTCTCACTTCAAACTACCATGACCCCACTCTTTGACATATTCCTCCACTTCCACAATACTCGCCTTACCCTACTCTCGACCTTTGTGTCTGTCTCTTTCACATCTTTGAAACACTCTTCTGTCCCCCCCCCCCCCCACCGTCTCGAATTTTTTACCCTTTGAAGTTTCTTCCCCTCTGTGAAGCCTGAAGTGAACTAAGGGGATAATGATAACTATCAGAACGCCTGCCATTTGGTATAAATAAATTTTGTGAAATATTTGGGTAGAAACTTGAAAACTGTGAATAACATGTATTATAATCCACTGCGCTAAAACCTTCAAGTAAATAAAAATATATCCATGATAAAAACACCAGTAGATAGATTTCGCCTGGAGGTTGAATCCCAAGTTTTCGGCAAACAGCGCAACTTGCAGAGTGCTGTAACTTCTTTAGTGTATTAGCAGAAATGATGGGGTAGTGACGTGAAATTGACCTCAGTCAATTAAGCCATTGGTTTGGAACCAAAATGGCATTAGCAACACTAAAAGCAAACAAAGTGGCGTAATTTATGGGAATAATGAGCAGTACTGTTAGTTAAAACGTAAATAATTCGATATACTTAATGTAGTAATAAACTTTAAGCATGATATTTCATGAATAGGAACAGCAACAAGAATCTCGCAGGAATTTCCATTATGTGGGCAATTTTAAAATTACATCACGAAATTTCTCGAATAAGAATGGATTCATTGGCCATCATTCCTTCTCAACCCTTGCTGGTTTTCTAAACAATTATTCTTAAGAATACGATAGACTTACCTCCACGTGGTGCACCCTGGGCAACGTATACTCATACGGCAAAAAAGTCTATTAACCGGCAGTTGACTTCTCACTTCAAGCTATCATGGCTCGACTGCTTGTCATATTCGTCACCTTTCACAGTTCTCACCTTACCTTTTTCTCTACCTTTGTGTCTGTCTGCCT